AGGAAGGAAGGAAGGAAGGAAGGAAGGAAGGAAGGAAGGAAGGAAGGAAGGAAGGAAGGAAAGAAGGAGGAGGAGAAGGAGGAGGGGGGAGGGGAGGGCGGAGAGGATAGTTATGAATGGTTCTCAATTCAACAAAGAAAACTCAGTTATCAGAAACATCCCATAAATATCTTTTCTCTTTTCTCCACAACTGTTTAATAGTATAGCAAGGGATAGGTAACTTCATAAGTAAGGCAACTGGAGCAGCCTTCACCACATTTGCATTCTAGTTCTCGAAAGTGTGCAGAAGAAAGTGTGCTGTTAGAGAAATAGGTCTGCTCCATCTGATTGAAAGCCTTTGTGCTCCTGATGAATAGAATGCTCTAAACCTCAGGTCTGTATTAGCATGCATTGTTTGAAAGGCTGATTGCAGGTGGCATTTTGAGTTTTCCTGAACAGGATGTGGACAAGCTGAGCATGGGAAGTGACAGAGAGGGGCCAACTGGCAGATACATCCCTGTGAATGTCAAGTCCTCAAAACATTTCACATCATATTCCTTTGTTACCTCTTTTGCTTGTGGTCAAGGCAGGAGCATGATCTAATCCCACTTCCAAGCAAACCCCCACTGTCATAATTTGGCAAATGTCTTTCTTAGGATTCAGGACTTGCAAGCTGTTACCAAATTCCTTTTTGTTCTATAAGCCATATGGGGGCTGGATTTGTGCAAGATTTATTGAAGCCTTAATTTAATCCAGAACAAATAACTAGAGATTTGGAATTGGGCAATATCTGTCTGGGAAACATAGGGACACAACCCCTTCCCACTGGGTATCCCTAGCATTTAAGTTTATACAAAAAAGCAGAATTTTCACAGTTGTCATTGCCCCTGCATATTCTTTGGTCGACAAAAACCTACCTAAGTTTATAACATGTATTACCAGAAAATATGTATAGTCGTAGCAGTACCAAAAATGACATTTTTTGATAAACTGATCATCAAATCTAAATCCATATTGAAACATACAACTACACAGTGTCTCAACTGATATCTGTTTTCCCCCTACACTCCCATAATCAATCAATAGATCAGTGCATCCTTCCTTATGACATTGATACTGCATCAATAACTCAGAATATTAATTTCCACCAACTATGTACTGCAATGGCCTCCATTAATTTCATTTATTTATTTTTCTCCTGTCTTTATTATTTCATCTTGTGCTATTTGTATTGCATTTAATATGTCTAATTTGAGGAAAATTACCTCAGACATTGCTGAAGTATAATTTGCTACATTTTTCAACTTTGGCCATATTGGCTAGGGAAGTACTGGAAGTTGTATTTCAGCCATCTAGACTTAAGGCAAACTATTTATAGCAATGTTGCTGCTATAAAGCCAGAATAAAAAAAAAGATTTGTTTAGTGCTTAGTGTTATATAAAGTCAAATCTCCTTAATCCACTGTATTATATTGTATTGTATTTTACTTGAATTTATTTTATCTTTTTTAAATTTAATTTTTATAATGCCAGATGCCAGCAATTTTCAGAGGCATTTCAGTTAACACATTTGCATCATTCATGAAATATGAGCTAGCAGTGTTCTTGCAGAACAACAAGCAATAAGTTCAATAAAGAGTATATTCTTCTTGCAAACCAAATACTTGAGAAAAATCTATTTGCTGCCCTGTTTAGTGGTCCTCCAAGTTTTTTTGCAGACATTATAGTCAAAGCACACAAGTACAACCCAGGCAGGCAGGCACGTAGGCAGACAGGCCCACTGTAATCCAGTTCCCAAGTCAGCTATTGCTACTTAGATGGCAAACTATCAAGTGTAGAAGAGGGAGGAAAGATGCTTTGGTTGATGAAAGGATCAAACAGACTTCTCTGGCACTACATGTCAGGGAACATATGCACCTGTCATTTGGGGATGGTCGCACAGATGTTCCATTTATATTTCTGCAAATTTTATGATCTTGCTAGGGGGTTCTCAACGAGCAAAGCTCAGAACAGGACTTTGGATTAACCAATCAGCATGCAGGGCAGTTGGGATCTGCATCCATCTGCAACCTATGCATCTCCCATCTGCAGCAATCTGCAATCTATGCTTACCCATCAACCTCTTCGCAGCATAGCTATCCAGCGATGCCTATCTGTGGTTGCAGGCAACTCTAACTTGAGTTTAAGGGGATAAGATTAAAGCTTTGAGGGAGAGAGTCTTGTCATTAGAAATCTCATGTTTTATCAGTGAGCAGAAAGGAGGCTACATCTGATTCTGAAAAACCACGTGCTTAAGGCCTGGGAAAAAAATCCAAGCCAGGAGGAACGATATCTCTAGGTTATGGGAGTGAAAAGCCTAAATAAGTTCAGAATAAAATATACTGTACTCTAAGGGTGGAGATCTTTGTTTGGTTTTCTCTGGGTTTGGCATATATTCTTTGCTGCCAGTGTTTATGTGATAGGTGGAGATCTGGTTACCTGCTCCAAACAAGGTGGTTTACTGAAACACTAAAATGAGAGTCTAAAGCAATAAATTCCCTTTCAAGGCCAACTCAACAGCTGTTTTAATATATAAACACCCAGAAAACACATTGGCAGCAGAACTCAGAGCCTGTATGCATAGATCATGAATCACCCAAATCAACGAGACACATAATTAACACATTCTTCCTTTCCGTGATTTCCCTTCTCTGTTTCCATTTAAATTTTATCGTTTTAAAACATTATTTTCTCTCAAAACCTCATTAAAAGTTAATAACACAATCACACTAATCATATTCTCCCTGAATCCCCAAACAATTCAAAATAATACAACATACAACGTTGATTGAAATAAAATAAAACCCAAGCAAACATTAATTACAATTTATTGATCACCAGGAAATGGGAACAATCTGTCTTTGACGGCCATCCAGAAAAAAACTGGTTTTCACAAATTATTAAAGGCTTAGACCAAGGGGACACTCTAGGTTTCAGGGTGAGGCTGTATGATGAAAAAACAGAGCTCTCTGTCTCAGCCCATTTTCCTCATAACATTGAGACAAAAATTTACCTCATGAGAAATATAGCTTGCTTAATTCTAGTTTAAGCAACCACAGTGTATTGAGCCACACTGTCACAAATTTTAATTTGCAAGATACAATGAACCAAATTCATTATGATTTAAAGTGATAAATCATAAGCAAGCCATGTTTTGACTCAACATGACATGTAAACGGAACATATTCTTTTTTTCCTGTCTGACCCTTTTATTAGGGCTGTGTGGATTGGTTCCAGTCTGATTTGAAACCCTGGGTTGGGTTAGTTCAATGTGATTTTTAAAAGGGCAGCTGCATATATACAAAGCCCTTCTGAACTAGTGAACCAATTTGGAAGTATTTAATTCAGTCTAATAATTCAAATTTAGCTTTCTGGTTCAATTCAATGTTTGATTCAATTTCTAGATGTGATCAAGTTGCTATTGAATCTTCATATTAAAGCTTACACAACTCTACTTTTTTATCCATATCACCTCTCTTTTTTGATCTGCTTGGGATCATAGCAGCACATATATAATTACTACTACTTTAGTTATCTCAGGGACATCAGATGTGTGGACTTTGAATTTTATCAATCCATGTTACAGTTGAGATCTCATTGCTAACCTTTCAGATGTAATCCGGTTCCTTGGGGTTTAACCAAACACTGATTAATCATGAAATCATTTCTCCTCATACTTCCTCCTTGTCAGTCCCACCACTTTGGAGAGAGCTGGAGACTAAAGTCATCTTATATGTAAATTAACTATTTTGAGATTTGATCCAGTCTTGCATAACAAGGAAATGCAAGGGCAAAGACATTGGGAGACCATCATGACGCACCAAAATGATGGATAGAATTTGGAAACAGACACAAAGATCAGCATCCTGAACATCTCAGGTTTTACTTTGTAACAGAGGAAGTGCTGGTGGAAAATTCAACATCAGAATGGAGAACTTATTACTCTTTGAAAAGTAAATTTTGTTTAGATATTGTAATTGACCAAGTAGTTCGAATCTACCTAGAATCTTACACAGATGGTTTTCATATAGTATAATAACACTTTCTATGTTGTAACAGTTATTAATATTAGATCTGATGCACTGATTATTATTTACTTATTTAATGCATGTGTCTCTCACCTTGTGTTATAAGAAACACACACACACACACACACACACACACACACACACAAAAGGAGTATCTCTTTTCCAAAGACTGGCATGCATGCATGTTTCTCCTAGTACAGTATTATTCCTATGATAGTGTAATAGAGGAAGGAGAAAATGAACTCTGAAAAATACCCAGACAGCTTCATGAATGAATGGAGTGGGACCATAGCATTAAACTCTTGGTCTTCATAATTTCTATGCTTTTCAGTCACCAATTAAGGCAAGCTGGGGACAAGGGACAGCCACAAAACATGCTTTTTATGATGCAGTCCCTTGTTGTGAGCTTCCTTCCCTGTGGACTTCTGACAGGGATCCGATTCCAATGTCTTTCCAGACAAAATACTTTATTCTCTCTGGTGTTGTAAATCTGTTATAAGCAAGCCTACATTATGCTGTGTTTTAATGTGGCTGATAGGAATGGCTTGCTTGATTCTAATTTCCAATGTTTATTTCGACATTACAATCTTTCTAAGATTCTTTATGCAAAACTATATTCATTTAGATTCAGAAATACAGATAGAGTAATATATATGAATTCATATTTTCTATGCTGTGATATGCTGCAAAGTGTTGCTTTTCACATTCTGGCCTTCTAATGAAGAAAAAAAATCTAAAAATCCAAGTCCACCATAAATAAACTACAAAAATACTATTACATTGCAGTAAAGAGAGACAGAAAAACACTTCTAAAGGGCTCTGTGGCCCTAAACAAATTTCTCTGAATGTACTTTTTTTTAGGCTGAGTCTTATGAGTAACTACCAGTAAACATTTTTTTTCAGACTGTGTCCCTGGCTTAACATGCATGTAAAAAAACCTCACTTTAGGTACAGGTATGATGTATCTTTTGGAGGAACATATTTCAGACATATCTTTAGATGAGGTACAGAGGAACAGTTATCTTTGAGCCAAACATATAATTTATCTATGACTCTTATTTAAAATAACAGTAAAGAGGGATATACTTCGAGTATCGTATTTAAACTGGATGAAATGCAAACTGTCTGTTGACTCAACAATTTGTAATTTTATTTATATAGTTCCACACATATTGTACTTACATAAAGGTCAAACAGAAAAAAAAATCAGAAGAGAGGAAGGAAGGAAGGATTCTACACAGAATTATTTTAAAAAATTCTATGCAGTCAATCATATGCAAAATCTGAGGTCAAGGAACCTTCAATCTTGAAATGTTACCTCCAAATAAAATTATAAATTATCTCTTATCAACTCATCCTTTCCCTTTCTGCTATGAAGAATCTTTTTGCTTAATATTTTCCTCAGTTGAGATCTGTAAAGTTTTTAAAAAGAAAGATTAAAAACTAAGACAGGCTACTGTGAAGTAAAAAAGAAAAAAGAAATCAAAGAGAAAACTAAGAATGCAAGAAAAGGGGGGGGGGGTAAAAGAAAAATAGAAAAGGAAAAAAAAGATATAGAAAAATGGCTTCTGATATTCTTCACAGCAATTATAAGTAGAGTTATATTTTAACCTCTCTCTAAAGTTATAAGTTTAGGTGACTCTCTAAAAAATATTGGACTCTAGTAAATCCCAGCCAATATCATTAAAAGTCTGGATTGGTGGAATTATAGTCTAATGATTAAGAGAGCTCCCAAACTCTGGTCTAACCTCTGATATTTACAGTGATTATCTACACAACCTGAGTGACAATGGGACTAGAAGAAAGTAGCAATATGATTAAAGTATTGTTAAAATTTGCTGATAACATTGTCTCATTGATCTTTGGTTAGCCACAAAATTTATGGTATAGTAGTGTTCCCAACCTCAGCAACTTTAAGATGAGTGGACTACAGCTCTGAGAATTCCCCAGCCAGTGATGCTGGCTTGGGAATTCTGGAAGTCTACTCATCTTAAAGATCCCGAGGTTGAAAAACACTACTGTACTTTGTTACAAATAAACAAATTAAACAAAAATGAGGCAAGGAAGCAGTACAAAATAACAAAACCCACTACTAAGCAGATGAAGTTCTACTTCAAGCTATCATATCAATGTGCTGGACATGCTATATTTGCCTCCTCATCCCCAGAATAATGTAAGCTAAAAATGAAACGCCTTTGATTCCATCATCTGAAGACAATATCTCATGAATACCACTCAAGAGTTTCACTACACATTTAACAGTTAATTAGCTTTGATTCTACTGTATGATTCTTACTGTTGGGTGTCATCCCTTTGTTTGCACAATCCACTTAACCATGACTAACTTTTAAGTTTTAACTTTATTTTCTGGCTTCACGTAACACCCTAAAAAGAATATTTTTTCAAATGCAGAGCATGCTTTTAAAGTGTCACCTTGGCAATATGATTTGCTTCTTCTACTTCAGTGCTCTGGCTTAAAATCCCATTCAGTTGATCCACAGTGAACAGAAAATGTGTCAAATATCTGGCATGGACAGGTTCCAAGAGGAGCTTTCTTTCTGTGTATTATTCAGCTCCAATAGATCCTTTTATGTATAGTCAATATAAACAAATATCTTAAAGGTTTTTAGAATCCACAAAAAAAGCACCAAATCCTGGTTGTTTGACCCCGAACAGTATTTTATGCTGTGGAGCATCAGATTTGAAGTTCAGTCACCATATAGAATTGTCATCTTCTGTCCTTCTGGGAGTTGAAGTCCACAAGTCTTAAAGTTGCCAAGTTTGGAGACCTCTGCTTTAAATGAAAATGGGGCACAAAAACCAATACAGCATAACCACAGATAATTCTAAATCGAAATGGCTATTTGGCACAGCAGGAGGCAAACTGAGAAGAAAGTTTTTTAAAAGATACCAAATTGAAGAACTGTATGCCTAAGCAGTTGTGTTCAATTCTTTTTAAAACATACAGACAATTCTTCAGCCATGATAAGTGCAACTAGGACAAGACTGAATAAAATAAGTACCTCAAATAAAAATATAAATCTCAAATATTGGGTGGAAATATAGTGGAACAAAAAAAAACCAAACAGTTTGGGATATCTGATTGTTTTTTGGTCCCTTTCTTGTGTTGAGAATATCTGGCATGGCAATATAGATATATCTATCTATTAGAAAGGCTTTAAAATATGGGAAAGGGCTTTTCCTACATCTTTCACCACTAGCTTCCCTTTCCTCTTTGTTCATCCTATTCTTCTTCTCAGACTTTATAAAAATTCTTCAGAGTTACTCAGAGCTTTGCAGTTTATCTAGATCTGAAATGGAAAAATATTTTTCAGTCCAGTCTATTGTCCATATAGCAAAAAAATTCATTTTGAATTTTTATCCATCCAATCCAAATCTAGGAGTTATAGTCTTTCTGTAGTACACATCTAAAGATCCTAATACATCATATTGAACTTTAAAATAGTGTCTGTGCACCTTGTTTTATCTGGCAAAGTGAAAATATTCTTAGTTCCAAAGAAGTGTGCAATACCATCCTATAAACATAGGATGCAATCTTTGGAACTCAAAATATTCCCACATTACTTCAATTGACAGACATTCCAAATATCAGATTTTTGTTTGAGGTTTGAGATATATGGAAAGAGTTTTGCATATACTGCATACTTGTATTACTCTATAGTAGAGGTTCAACACCTACTATAGCCAATGTACCTATTTCCATCAAAGATTAAACTTTATATTGTGATTTGACTTCATTGTCATTGTGAATTCACATATCTTGAAGAGCCCAAGTACCATACAAACCTCTCCAAGATCAGAATGTCCCTTTTGTTGACATAATGTGAGATGCAAACTCTCCTTCACAAGGTGTCAAAGGCAAAAAGAAATGTTAAGTCTTTGAGAACTGTCCCTGGTTCTGATCCACGCCTATTTAAAGCAAACTTGGTCAACTACATTTATAATTGGAGGTCTAGAAATATAATTACTCACAGCTGTGTTAATTTACATTATGCTTAAGAAAATACTGATAAGAAAAGTAAGGTGTGAACTTTTGAAATGGAAATAAGCTAAAATATTTTTAAATAGTCACATCTGATTGCTTCTCTTCAGAAGTGAGATGCATTAACCCATCAGACTTGGAAGTCATAATTCAAGACGTTAATAGATCTAACATTGTTGGTACTATAGCCTCTTCATGATTATTTCATTTGTAAATTGTTTGCAATTCCCCACAAAATATTTAAGATACAACTCTAAGGACCTGTAGCATCTCCTCAAAGGAAGTTCAACTATCTCAGAGAAGTAGCAGTATTGTCCCCACTTGCAGAAAGAAAATTGAGGAAAGGATTTTTGTACAAGGGTAGAATTGATTCCAAATTCTTAAGATACTAACAAACCCCAAGTATTAAATAATTTTGCTTTTTTAAAAAACCCAGCTAAAATATCTGCAACCCAGTGGGTGAAAAATCATTTCATCATGTTGCTAAAATTTCTTATTCTGCATGAACAAGTCACATTGTAACTACAGAACCTTTCTGTAGCAATATTAATAATATTAACCACTCGCTCTTATATTGATTCTATACAATACTGTTCACAATGCAGCTTATTATTATTAAATACATGCCAAGAATTACATGAAAAAACAAAATGAATCCTTAAAACAATATATTATTATATATAAATAAAAGAAAGTTTCATCCCACAGTATTTACAATAACTATGAATAGAATGACACACTGAATCATTCACTGATACACTTTTATATTCCCCTTGTCCCAACTGTACTATTATTTATTGGTGTTGCTTATTGTTGTTATTACTAAGATACAAGGATGAATAGCTTTGGGCAGAATAATTGACTGATATTCTCACAGCTACCTAGAATGAGTCCGTATGTCCATTTTACTGGTGGAGTATTGAGACTTGCTCAATATTATCCAATATGCTCACTCTGAAAACTGATTCAAGCTTTGATCTCCAAAATTTTCACATAATCAAAGAACAAAATATTTTGCTAGTGTCGTATTTTTAATGGCAATGACTACATTTATTTCCAATATAAAGTCTAAGAAGTAACCAAAATTTTGTTGAGAAAAAAGCAAACACACTTCTCTTAATTATGTCCTTAAAGGTATATGCCAGGGAACCATTCCTGGGACCATTGCTTTGCATATTCTCACCTTTATGTCTCCCGAGGATTTCATTCTCAATTCTCAGTTGATCACCCAATCTCCCACCAAAGAAGTTCTCTATGTTCATTTTCCAGAAATTATCACCCTGTGTTTGGAGAAATGTTCATTTTGCCTTAGATCTTCAGTCCTATCTCTAGATCAGAGAAGGTGGCAACCAACATCCAGAAATTCACCTGAATTGTTGCTGAGATGCATGGGTGATGGCATCCCCTATTTTGGGTTGGCTTTGATGTTCATACATAAGTCTCCATGTCCCAAGGTCAGATTGCCCTCTCTCCACCTGCATTCTATTGATTACCTCTGAGACAAAAACAGTATGGGGAGTGGTTGAAGTGTCAACTGAACATAAACTTGTGCATGCCCCAGTTGGGCAGCAGAGCTTGATGTTCTCCTCAAAATGCTGAGAAGCCCCTATTTAAAAACCCTTTTCCCTCTCCTGGGAAGACTCTTGCCCCACAAGGATCCTGGACCCATGAGAAATAGTTGAGAAGGATTTGGCAGGTGAGCTGTCATTTGTGTTTCACTAACCAAGCATAACCACAGAAAGAAAAAAAAATCGAACATGATGCCAATTTGCTTGTGGTTTGAGGATGGGAAATGAGAAGTTACTCACATGAGGAATAGGGAGGAAAACTACATTGCAAAATGTAACATTAGTGAATACCTTCCATCTCATAGCAATCACTATTTATGTGCTTAGTTATTACAAGTAGATATCCATTAAGGGGGAAGCAGTTTTTCAATATGGCAATAGAGCATATCTATTCCTCTCAAGCCATAGGGCACTACAGCTGACTCCCATCATAGTAGGCAGATGACATCCTGAGATCAATATAGTTAGTACAATCTAGAGGGAGATATTGTACCCCAGCCCTTGAATTCGAATTTCAGCTTTCATTCTCTAGAAATCTAACATGGACAGTTGCAAAAGAAATAACAAAACTATTTCTAGCTAAGGAGAAACAATGGACAAAAGAGGTGTCTGTTTCTATATAATTTCTGTAACATACTGTATAAGGCAGCTACCTCAAACTGTACATTACTGGATCTGCATATTAATGCAAGAAACATGATCCCACAATGTCAGTACTGAATTAGCATTAGCTGAATAGGCACTACTTAATTACAGATTTGTGCCTAGTTAAACCACGTCAGCAAAGCAGTAGGAAAGGGATTATTCATTCAACTTGAAAAGGTTGTTGAATATTCCAGGGATACTTCAGTGAATTGTTCTCTAATTGCAAAGAATGGGGGGGGGGACCCCACTCAGCTAGTTGGTGCTCAGTGCTAGTGAAGATTTTGAACTCATAAGGACTGGCCAACAAGTCTTAAAATATTTACCATTCTCCTTGAAGATTTTGCAGGGAGAAGACCAGGGGTGGGATTTTATACAAAACATAAAATCACAGAACTGGTAGTTACACTGGTCAGATCCCACCCCTGGAGAAGACCCTGGAATTTTTGGGATACTGAAGAGGTCTGCTTCTTAAATCTATCAGTTAGAAACATCCACACTTACCCTTTAGATGTCCAGAAAAGTATCAATTACCAGCAGTAGCATCAATCCGATAGTGAGACAAATGCTCCAGCCAATCTTCACTGAGCATGAAGTGGACAAAAGACAGAGAATGGAATAGCCAAGGGAGTTGATTAAGATGCTTAAAAGAGCTAAAGCTATGCTTTATCCCTGCATCTGAACCCAAGTATTGCATGCAAGAAGTGAAATGCTCAAAGACGTATCAAACCTGCAAGGGAAAGATACCCTCATAAGTACCTGCCACACACTAAGGAATGCAGGCAGGCAGGCAGGCAGAGAAATGGCAATGGAGAATGAATATAAGAAGAAATACATTCAACTAATCAGCATCTTTAAAAAGTTATGCACCAAGGCTAGAGCTGTAGTTGAATACAAGGAATGCAGTGTTCAGGAAAAGTCTTCTTTCCCCATTATATCTAATTCCTTCCTTATTTATTTACCTAAACAAACAAGCTTGTGCGCACCTAGTAAGAAGTGTTTAAATATCCCAGCCTACAGTTAACCCTTTAATATGTGATAATCTTACATATGAGCCAAATAATTTTTCATGCCCCGGCCACTGACCCCCTTCACTCCAGTTCTCCCCACAACTCTCTTTATCTCTTGCATGCTTAAAAGTACAGCTAGAGTAGTACCACTTTGTGTTCAAGGCTACCACAAAGGGAGCAAAAACTTAATAATGATTTTTTGGACCAGCATAGGAATCCCTTCCCTTTAAATTAAACTGACAATGTGTACAAGAGTTTTCAGTTGTGGAACTCCAACTCTGATCAGCCCAAACTAGAGCTGCAAGGCTGAGGTTCCTTCCTACAAGACTGGAGGGTCTCATGCATTGCTTTTCCTTGCTCCATATATGCCACAAGACAATGACAAACCAACCGGATGCAGAAAGACTCTGACTGAATGAAGAATACTACTGAAATTCTGTAGCTATTCATTAATAAACACCTTTTTTCTTACCGCACAGGGTGGCTCCACTGATTTATCAATTTGCTGTTTATAGTGTCCTCAGTGGTAAACATAATAGCAATAGCACTTAGACTTACTGTTTATACCACTTCACAGTGCTTTACAATCTTCTTTAAGCAGTTTACAGAGTCAGCATATTACCGTCAACAATCTGGGTTTTACTAACCTTGGAAGAATGGAAGGCTGAGTCAACCTTGAGCTAGTGAGACTCGAACTGCCAAACTGCAGGCAGTAGTCAGCAGAAGTAGCCTGCAGTACTGCATTCTAACCACTGCCTGTTCTAACGATATTATTGCATATGAATACATACATAAATACACATGTGATGGTTTTCAAAAGAGCAATGGCAGCCATAAGGTTGAGCATGAAAGGAATAGAAAAAAGAGAACATGAGCTAGTCATGAAATATGGATGCATTATGTAACACCCATTGAGTAATAAAGAATACAATGGCCATTAGGTACTGAACTCTATGTAAGGAACATATTTCTCAATTGGAGCGGGAAGGAGTTCTTTCCCTTTTATTGCATACAAGTCTCATTATACAGCCTCAAAATTTTCAATAAACTATTTGTATGACAAATTTGTACAGAGACATGTGTATTAGTAATCAGAACTGTCCTATAATAAACCATGAAACATATCAGGCAAATTTAATTGAATTTATATTCTATTAAACTCAATCACAAGTCAGCTTAGTTATGACACAGCTTATATCTATACAAAGTTCATTCACCATATAACTCTCTCTCTCTCTCTCCTCTCTCTCTATGTATATATGTGTGTGTGTGGTTTTATATAATATGGTTTATACACACACATGTATGTATATATGTATACATACACATATATACATAAAAGGACACTGAATAATTATGAGGCCCAAAACACCATCATTTGACTCTTTAAATCTGTATTATTGGTAGACCAATTAACATTTTGCAGGACTGTCAAAAAAATTGGAAGAACTATCAAACAAGTGGGAAGAAGGTTTCTAGTTATGAAAGAAAAAACAAAGGATTTATCCAAATGTAAACATTGAATGGTTTGCTTATACAAGTGACATGCAAGTTGCAGAACTTTCTATTTCCTAAATAGAATACTGTATTCAGTATTTCCAGTTAAGTAAGCTCAGTGTCATTTTATTTCTTTTAGTGTAGAGAAGGATAACTTCTGACAGGCCAAAGACCACAATTCAGCCTCTGTACCAGAGGGAGAACTTCTGGAAAACTGCAGGGGCTCTCTTATAACAAAGTAATAGTGCTGGAAAAGATTGAATTAATTATAAAGGTCACTGAATTTGGGGAGAGCACATATTTGGCACTGGCAGGTTAAGGGTGACAATGAGTATAGGAGGCTCCTATAAGAGAAACTGGTGCCATTTTCAACTTTGACTCTTATGAGTCTTGGAAAGCTACCTGAAACTGTGCTGCTGAAAGTCCACTATCTTGACACAAAATTTACACAGCCAACCTTCTATCTATACCATATTCATGCAATCACATCTTATTCACCAAATCAAAAACTATACAATATCTCTCCATGCATTTTCTTGGTGCTTTGCTGAACAGCAGAAATCATGCTCTTCCTGGTTAAAAGAAGGCCTGAGTTTTCCAGTTTCTGCCCATGGTCAGTTTTTGTACTCTTTCAATCAGACTTCTTTCCGGGCACCCCTGAAAAACTAATCCATAACTACATAATACTGCACTTTTTGCATTTATACTTACTCTTCCAAATATCAAGCAGAGATGCATCTTTTACAACTATAAGATAGACTCATCTGATTTCCATGGAAAATGCCAATGTGCCACTAAGTAAAGGCTGCTTGTTTATCATAGAGTAAATGGCCATTGTTTGTCTTGGAACATTAAAGCAGGACTCAGGAGACCAACATTCAGAACAAGAACACTCCTTTCCCATCAATAGGTCAGCTCATAATTGATTTAGGGGAAAAGGTCCTCATTTTCTGCACTAGTAATCTTTGCAATGAAAACCCACCACATCGATAAGCACACAATCAAAAGACTGTTTTGCTACTAAACATAAAGGATGCCTACCCATTAGAGTTTCACCACCACTGGCATAAGCACTGTATGTACATTCCCATGTTATCAATAACTTAAAGGAGCCTTTTAAAATTCATCAATGTTATCTTATCCAGTAGAACCATTTTCCTATTTTGCGGGTGGCTTTTTTCTTTTCTCATTTTGAGAAATGCTGTTTTAATCTTAGCCAGGCTTTTAAGACATATGGCAGGACGTAAGAGATCAGCAGGCTTCACTACGCTAAAAACGGGAAACTTTTCATTAACTCAGGGTGTGAAAGAAGCAGATTCTTATTCCAGTTATATTTACCAGAAAATAACTTTTCTTCGTGCTTTGCAATTGGTCCCCCCGCTTATCCTGTATACATATAGTATACAGTATACAATAGATACTGCCTATCTATTGATCATGCAAATAGCTTCACAAATAGTAAAATATGATTTCTATTTACATGAATCTTCCCTGCATGCTTACAAATCTAAGGTTATTAAATTGAATTAGCCCACTTCCATCTGCCCATTCGTTCCTGGATTGTCTTTTCCACCAAAAACAAAAAAGATTAATTTGTGAACTTGTTAGTTTACTGTACAACAAAAATTATATAAAACCAACCCAATATAATATTTTTAGTCTCTGTAGCCAGATAAAAATCTAAATGTTATATTTTATTATTATTTTTCTCTTTCAGTTAATACTAGTGTGTCAGTTCTCTCATTCCTTTAATCAACGCGCTGTCTCATTGAAGTTAATTGCATCTTATTTAGATTATTGACCTTCTTTGTTTCAGCATTTGTCCACACAAATGTAAACTTATCTCTGCCCTCAGTTCTTTTCCTTTATTTTTATTTTCTTTCTTTGTCGTCAAATATGGTCTCTATTCACACTGTACCCAAAAGAGAATACAAGACACAAAGGTTTTATTCTTGATTTTGCATGGTTAAATCATGCTTATGGATTTAAATATAGATTTAGTTCAACATGAGTTTCATCACGTGTCTGGTCACCCACTGGAATTAGAGGAGACCAGGTGTGGGGTAGATTGCTTCCAAACAACTCCTCAGCTGATGATGATCACAGAGTGCTCTTTAGTTTAAGGAACTCCAATAAATGAGACTGAAAAGTCCAATTTGTGTTTATCCACCCAGACCAGTGGTGGGATTCAAAAATTTTTACTATTGGTTCTGTGGGCATGGCTTGGTGGGCGTGGCAGGGGAAGGATAAAATAAATAAAAAATCTCTAGTCAGAGGTGGTATTTGCCAGTTCTCCAGACTACTCAAACTTTCCGCTACCAGTTCTCCAGAACTGGTCAGAACCTGCTGAATACCACCTCTGACCCAGACCCTCATAGCCTCTAGACTAGACACTGGGCTAGCACTTCCACAGTATTTCTAATCTGGTGGTGCTGCAGAGTTGGGTATGATCAGTAAAGCTGATGATACCTTCAAACCCAAATCAATGAATGACCTTTCCCAACAGCTTTACATAGAGGTTAAACAGTAGCAGGAGGAAGGCCAAACCATATAGCACCCCATGTTGGAATAACCAGAGATTCATCCACTCCTTCCTCCCTGCTTCTGACTAAACCAGTCCAACAAAATATGAGCAGGACCATGGTAAAACAATGCCTCCAATAC